ATTGCTGCCAAGTCATTGTAAAAATTTAAATGCATCTCCAACTTTAGTATTAATTTATATACTGATACGAACATTGCCCTTACAGTAACTTCTTTTTCTCTGTTGTAAATACAGACGTACATATTCTTCAAAACGTCTCATTTTACATTATTATTGTATGTATGACACTATGTCTATGTGATTTAATAATTATTACAAATGAACAGTATTTATAAAACTAGAAGCCTAAAATCTAAATAGAAAGTCTACGAAGATGTCTATAGTAGGTATCTAGCCCAAAATCGTTTAATTAAAGATAAATTTTAAGTAACTTTTTTATATATGGGGAAAATTAAATAAAAATATAGAATATATATAAGACCATATAAATTTGTAAACAACTATTTTGAACGACAAGTTGTCAATTTCGAATTACTGCATGTATTCAAATTAACACGAAATCAAATATAAAAATATTTATATACATTTGCCAGTTAAAACTATACTCTATAGCCGTGTACTTAATGATACACTTAAATGCTACTCATATATAGTTTTAGTTTTAATTTAGGCTTGTACAAAAAATATGCTGTAAAGCAAAAGTGCTCGCGGGTTTGACTTCTATTATGGTTTCAAAAGTGCTCGGGAGTCGGGTTTTATTTGAGCGCATAAAATCCGAACACTTTTGAAACCATAAAAGTCTGAGAACTCGTAATACCCGCGAGCACTTTTGCTTTACAGCATATTTTTTGTACAAGCCTAAATAGCCTCCGTTATATAACCCCAGTCGAGCGAGATTATTTGAGAAGGATACCCAACACCTCTAAACCCAACACAATAGCCAAGGCGGTCGCGCTCATTTTATCATTTCTTTGCTTGAGCAGCACTGAGCCACATAGCTGCTCAAGACTGAATTTCTTTAGATCATCCTCCCCAGTTTTTTTTAACACAGTCGAGAGTTTCTTTCTAAAACACAAATCGCTAACTTCCTGGGAAACGATGTCAAGCACTTTCTGTGTAACCACCTTGCGGACGGGTTGCATTTCATATTACTGCCCGGCTGCCGTATATAGAGGTCCATACAGTAACGCTTTCCCCAATGTATTGTAGGTATCACATACAGTTTTACTCACAGTTCCAAGGAGTAGGAACGAATATGGGACGATAAAAGCTGGGTCCATGGATTGTGTCTTTAATAATAATATTGTAACTTTCAGCCTCAACTAGACAGCAGCCGCTTCATAACAGACGTTTTTGCAAATAAATAAATCGTTACTGTCAGAATATTGTTCACATCAACATTTTATACTGATACCTTGATCAGATCAGCTATATACCAAGGGCACTTCTCCCGTCATACAGAATATAAACAAGTTGATTATTTCAAACAGGCGTGTAATATATTTTAACAGCAGTAAACACTGAGATATATTTAGCACTGAACAATTAATTAGTCACTACTGAATTTGGCGGGAAGCATACGTCTGCCGTTTCCTGATTGGTCAAGTTGAAACAATCGGAATGGAATGTGTTGCTGCAGTAAGCAGCCTGTTAGTGGGGAGAAAACCTCGGACCCGCGAACAGGCTGCGTAGGAGACTACCAAATCAGCGGCGCCGGCTATACAATATATTACAGGCATTATCTGAACAATAAGCGACTGTAAACAGTGTGATTTAGACCTAAATGCTTTCTGCCAATCGTACAACTTTAGCTAAGGTAGTTTTATAGGCATAGGCTTGTTTACTCGAAGAAGTAAACGCTTTTGACGAGCTCTTTGGTTATTTATTGAACTACATGACTCGACGTTGATTACATAACATACGGTTATTCGGGTCAAATAGGGGTTGCGAAAAAATTCGTCAAAAATTCAATTCTAAGTTGCCCAAAAATTAATAGCAAGGGAAAACATATTTCTTTGATCTGGTTATGAATTTTTTGTCTGAATCGATGTAACAATGGAGATATTCGCTGCCTAATATGGCATATAATAAAAAGGTTAAGAAAATCATCAAATTAAAACATTAAGAAAATCTGTAAAATATTCACTTTTTACAGAAATGTCTCTAAATTTCGTCTGCTAATCAATAAATATCTCTAATTTATAAAACGAAATCATTTTTGTGAAATATTCCCATTAACGCGCAAAATAGAGCGATTTTGGTAGTGCCGTAAAATGACCTCTAAAAATCGAAAGTGGCCTGGGAAAACCAATTTCGACGTCTCTCTCCTTCAATATTTATCCGATCGAAATAAAACTTTCACAACATTAATACTTTATATAGGCCTACATTCTGACAAAGTTTGAAAGATTTTGAATTTTTTCATTTTACACGTCTTACCTGATTATTACAGATAACCGCTCTTAAGCAAGTGGCTGACACTTTATGAAATATTAGGGGGTGTTCGTGCCGAAGGCACGGAAAATTTTTTTATTTGAATCCCGGAAATGGCATTTGCAGCATTCTGAATAATCAGAAAACCCAGAATTCCGGGCGCCAGAGTATGCCTGTTCGCAGGTAGTGCTGTGAATAATATAGTTAACAACAAAAATCATGACCAAAGACACCAAAAACGGATCAAAATTGTATTCTAAAATACTCAAAACGCAGAAAAATTGGTAATCGACTCGCATTACCTCAATCCCATTCCCATTTTTGAGGACTTCATTTCCCATTCCCAGTGGCCAAATCCCAGTCCCAGCAACCCAAATCCCATTTTCCCAGTCTAAAAATAGATCAATTCCAGTTCCCATTTTACCCCTTCAGGGCCCTCTATGTAAATATAGCAAGAAGAGAGAAAAGGAAAACAAATAGAAAACTAGATATTACAATAATTTGAATGATTAACTATATTACATATATACAATAAAAGCATTAGAGACCAAGAGAATCTCGTATGTCATTTAAAACCTTCATTTTGAAGGCAATGACATTCTCGGTTGATATGTTCTCATCACTTAGAGAATTCCAGGTGACCGCTCCACTGTATGCTAGACTATTTTTCAGAAAGTTTGTGTTAGGTTTTGGAAGGAAAAAATTCACCTGGCTGCCCCTTACATTGTAGTCATGGCTGTCATGCATTAGATTTTTTCTGGAAAATTGTGATGTTAGATACATATAGGTGCATCATTAGTTGCTATTTTGTGCATTAATAATACTTATTCAAGTGCCACCTATGTTCCAACGTAGGCCAGCCTAATTTTTCTAAAATTTCCACAGTTCTAATATCATAACCAGAACGTGTGATAATCCGCCCAGCACGATTTTGTAATTTCTGAAGTTTCTCTTTAGAACCTTTATTGCAGTTATCCCATACCGATGAACAATAATCGAAATGCGGTTGTACTGTACATGTATAATTGCATAATATACTTTCTTTAATGCGTCTACTGGGACAATTTCATGAATTTGTCTCAAGGCACTAAGGCCGACTTATTAAAGATTTATTAAAAATAATTGAAAGAGACTCGGATATGATATCTGCAACACCCTTGATCACGTTACATGGTATTTTATCTCCATCACTGCCAGCGAGTGGCTTTCTTTACATTTTCAATTCTGTGCTCAACACTTTCCGGTTCTCAAAACCGCTTTTTCTTATATTATAAGAAGATGCCTGCTCTTTTGCCAACAAAATTCATCTATTCACGACGAAAGCGAACTGAATGCTTCGTTATACACTTCATGCAAACTTTCAAGTGAATGTAATCGTTATTCGTTAATTCCCACACTCACTTTTTTGAATATCTAATAATTTCATGCCTCGTCGCTATGAATATCTAATGATGCATGAGAAGCAATTTCAAATCCTCGTTAGTGTATTTAGAAACCCTGTATTTAGAAACCCTGTCTAAAACACTAACTCGGACTTGAAATATTACATCTTCCATGGGGGAGGGTCTGCGTTCTCTTGTTTCCTTGTAAAATTTTCCTAATTGTACATTTCACCAATGCTACCTTGTTCTGCCAGGTTTCACGTTTCCTTGATCCCTAGCTATGACATTTTGACTCTGTACCCTTCCTCCTCTATACAGCGTGTCCCAAAAAAACGAAAACTATTGAAATCACTTATTGTTAAATTTGAATGCCCTACCAAACAGCTGGACGTAATGATGCGTAAAATATTGACAAGGCGCATGTATTAGAATTTAGTTAGGAATATCTCCTGGCAAAGTGCGCGGTTTTCTGCTCCTGGGAATTAAAAACAGCTTCTTAACACAGTTTCTTTATGCATAAAATTTACTTATGTCAATCATTTATGCGCTCGTGGGAACCAACAGAGTGCTAAGGCAGTCAAATTCTAACAATTAAATTGTTATTGGTGCATGATTTCAATAGTTTTCGGGGTTTTGGGGACACCCTGTACAGTATTATGCAAATTGTATAATGCCTTGCTCTTTAGAAAATATATTAAATTTTATACAGGGAGACATTTCGGTAAGCGTGATTATTATTAAATATGAACATGCTCTTAAACAAAGTCTGTTCTTTTAGTCTGCAATTTATACCTATTCTGCATGTTTTTTATACATGGTGTGCAGTCAGCAGATTACAAATTATTGACCGTAATATTGATTGAGGTTAATAAATACTTTATATGGTGCACTTTTTGTAGTTTTTTTACTGATTAATAATTGTTTACCATGCATATAATTATGCAACAATTCAAAGAAATATTACATGGATAATTGTTACAAAAATGAGTACTTATAATATTTACAATATAACATTGTATAACGACACATATTAAACAATGTATCTGTCCAACATTGAAAAGAAACTTTTTCCTTCAATGGCGTTCTAAGAACCAGTTCATGACTATGCAAGGCAAATCAACAAGCAAACCGCTTTCCAATATATTGGACTTTAAGCATAAAAAGGGAAATCCAAGCACAGTGCCACAAACACATGTGGTTGTTAGTATGCTGCAATATTTCATTCTAGTTATCGTGATAACGAACAATACAAAACTTATATACAGTTTCATAAACTTATAATGAAATATGCATGTATATAAATCGCTATAGTCTCAGTCATGAACATGTTTATTTTTACCCCTTCAACACTAGCGCTTTTGAACAACTATAATCGCTTTGTGGGGAATACTGAGGATATGAACCCAACAGAAAAACAAGAAACTTGGACATTTATGCGAGCAATATCATCCACTGGACCAATCAACGAGCTTCACAAATATTTGGTGAAGAAAGGAATGGCATCAACATCAATGGTAAATGTACATTATGTAAACAAAGAGGGAGTTTAGTAACTTCCTTTCCATTCATCGCAAGGATTAACACACAAGCCCGCTGCGAGAGCTTTCATCCAATCACAATTGCTCAACAGTTTATTTTAATTAGATGCAATCACCCCCAGCGAGCTTGCGCCTTTGTTTTGAGATGAGCGGAAAAGAGCCTTTTAGGCCCTGTTTACACTATATCGGATTCGCTGGTCACGACATCTTCTTTTGCCGTTACGGAGCAACGGTTAGTAGCAAATGCTTATTAATTTGACAGAATTGGCATGTTTATTTGGGTCTCTGAGATTAAAAATCTTCACAGCCTTTCGATACCTACAAAATTTGACCCACTCCGATAGCAATCGGGCATAGTGTAAACGGGGCCTAAACATGCCGCTAATCTTGGTGTCATTCTTTTGCGTGAGAAATCAATACAAACCACTGCATGATCTCAGTTAAACGCTTGATAGAGAGATCCATTGTTCTTTGCCTCTGGAGCAAAACGTGAAGCCAAGTGAAAAGTATAGGCAAGAAGAAAAAGTAAAGATATCAGAAAAATACATTATTTGTGAGGCGCGCAGCAAAAATTTCAAGTGTAAACGGGCCTAAGGTGGCTTCCTACTGTTTTTTCTGGCAGGAGGAAATCTTAGGATACAGGGCAGAATTGTTTATTGTTACTTGTTGAAAAGCAAAGAGTATCAGAGTTATAGAAAATAGTACCTGAAGAACATAAAATTTACCAAAACTGTCGTCACTGCTGTTACTATGGTAACCATGACCTTTCAATATGGTTTTCAATTCCAAATTTTTGCTTTTAAACTTATTTAACTTGAAAAAACAACTGTAACCTCTATTTTTATTTTGCTAATCGTTTTCAATTATTGAAAATAATTATTTGCCAACTTTAAAAAAATCGCCAGGCTCGAAATGCTTAATTGCAAAACACACGTTTTATTATATTTAAAAAAATCGATGGCGATTTTTTAAAATACTAATCGAAGATGATTATATTAACAAAATAAAAAATGTGTGTCACCGTTCTTTTTTCAAGTTAAATTAGTTTAAAGCAAAAATAATCGTCCATATTAAAACGTCATGGTTGTCATAGTAACGGCATTGAAATCAATTTTGGTAACAATTTCATACTCTTCAGGTAATATTTTCTATAACTCAGATACTATTTGCTTTTCAACAGGTAACAATTGTTAAAAAATCAGCCCTAAGTCGTAAATGTTTGTGTTGCAAAACAACCCAGTAGCGATCTTTCTTAATGTGAATTTATATATATTAGAACGTCTTCATACAAGAATTGTACAAGATGTGGTTCTATCGATATAAACGACTTGGGTATCGAGACTCTTCTGGTTTTGAACACGTTTTTGTTGGTGAGATATCTCGGGGAGTTGTGTCTGGTTTCCATAACTGGCTTCAGCTCTACTATCTTGAGCGCAATAACCAAGTAGACTATCGTGGTTTCCTGAAATATTATAATGTTGAGGTACTTTAAGTATAAACGCTGATTAATTATTTTTCCAAATTACGTAACAGAAACAGCCATATGAGCATGGACTAGCAAGATGTGATTTAAGGCTAGGGTTATATACCTAGACCAAAAGAAACAGCACGCTGTAGACCACAAGATTAAGAACGTACTTTCAAAGCACCAAGCCTATAGAATACGCTGAATTATATAGTTCTGCGTTATGGTGGTTTCAGTCGCGATCGTATTTGCATCAGGGAAAACTGAAATAGTTGGATGAAATTTTGAGTCATCCAACATTGCGAACATAATTTATACAAAAATGTTTATTATCTCATAGGTCTCCCGAAAATGTCTTTTATTTTAAAAAAATCCATACAATTTGCATTAAAATGTAATGCTTTGACATGCAATGCTTCAATATGCAGTAAAACCTCTATAATTTGTATTACATGAAGTACGTGTAACATCACAATAACGTTGCGTCATTATGTAATATATATCCGCCCCAAGGTTGACAACAAAATACAAATTTAAAACTGTATACAAAAACTTAATGACGAAAAAACTCGTACATAAACATCGAAATTTATTTAAAAAACTAACTCACTATCGGGTAAGACATAACTTCTACATTGTGTTTTTTCTTCTCTCATCACTTTTAAACGAGTTAACTTTGCGAAAATTCCGAGGAAAATTCATCAAATTCGTAACTCAATTTGGTCAAAACTATATGCGGGATGATGGCTCCCGGCGTTACGTCACAAAATAAAGCTCTCTGATTCGCTGGGAAATTTCAGCCTGCCAATCAGAGTGTTTCTTTGAAATTTAAAAAATTTTCAGCAAATGAGAGAGCTTTATTTTGTGACGTAACGCCTGGAGGAGTCGTCCCGCATAGTTTTGACCAAATTGAGCAATTTTTCTCGGAATTTTCGCAAAATTAACTCGTTTGAAAGTGATGAGAGAAGAAAAAAACACAATGTAGAAGTACTAAAGTTATTTCTTACCATAGTGAGTTTTTTTAATGAATTTCGATGTTTATGTACGAGTTTTTTCGTCATTAAGTTATGGTATACAGTTTTAAATTTGTATTTTGTTGCCAACCTGGGGGATATATATTACATAATGACGCAACGCTATTGTGATGTTACACGTACTTCATATAATACAATTTATAGAGGTTTTACTGTACATTGAAGCATTGCATGTCAAAGCATTGCATTTTAAAGCAAATTGTATGGATTTTTTTTAAATAAAAGACCTTTTCGGGAGACCTATGATTATCTTGCTAATTTATGCTTTCTGTTAATTCAAAACTTGGAAGACGAAATATAAATTTGCGTAGCTGCTGTTTCAAAAGGGTAAGGGTAACGTAACCTTTTAGCTGAATTTGCCCTTTATCGGTATGTACGCGGTTCGATTGAAAAGATTGCCCAAATTTTCCGGTTGGAATTTTTCGTATGATATCACCTGCTAGTTCCATTTATAATTTGGCGAAAATTTTGGCCGGAAAGGTTATCTCAACCACGAAGGTCATCTCAACCACTAAACAACATTTCATTTCGGGGGGGGGTTAATGTACGTACGGTTATTCACCCTTATTTGGTTTTCTTTTCTTTAAATTTTTCTTTCCCAAAGCAAAACGGGAAAGGTTGAGCTGTTAATTCGTACGATGTTGCTCAATACGTAATTTGGTTTTCGATATATTTTCCTTTTTTTGGGGGGGAGGGGGGGGGGTTACTCCCCATGGCTATCATGATCACAATGATTTCCTGTGTTGGTTTGGTTTGAGTGAATAAAACGGACATATTCCGAACCGATTTTCTGTTCAAATGTTGCTTTTATAATTACACAATTTAAAACCAAAGAGGTTTTCCTTGTAGATGGTAAACAACTTAAGGGCCCAAAACAAAAGTTGAGCCCAAATTAAATGGAGATTACTGCCTTAAATCAATATGATCAGTTGAATCTCAACAAGTGTAGTTTAGCATGGGATGAGATAAATCGCTTACTCATTGAGTGGCCTGCCAGCGCGCAAGTACTTACCTACCGGAGTACACCAATGTTACAATCTGGTAGTTCTTTTTCTTTCCTCCAAGTACCATTTATAGGAACACGTATCACTTTCTATCGGTGTAACTTACTTTTTGCTGGTACCATAAGACCTTTCCAAGCCCCCATTAGGTATTCAAAACCTTAATTCGGTATATGTGTAAGTCTGACATTGACTGATGCGATTAAAGCCTGGTTTCCATATGGTCGTAACGGTCGTAAAAATTGAGTCACGATCTTTCTCATCAGCCGAAATACAACATTTTAAAGCTGAAAACACGCGGAATGATTATAGCAAGAGAATACTTATGATTTATATGTGGTTTAGAAGTATTTAACAGTTATTCTACGAACTCGAGTCGAATATGAGCTGATAACCCATGAGGCGCGTAGCTCCGAATCGGCTATCGCTCATATTCGACGAGAGTGAGTGGAATAACTGTTTTATTATATACACAAGGTCTGAATTCACAGACTTTGCTTTTCGAATATTTTCAATATCTTTCTATTTTGTTTTATGTTTTTATCTTCGCTCTTTCGGCCGATTATTTTTTCAAAAATATATATTTTTAACCACTTTAAATATTAAAAATTTATTTGCTAACCCGAAAACAATTTGTGGGAGTTTTGTCATTGTGTTTTTAATCCTGTGAAGGCTATAAAAAGCGACAACTTGCCGTTTTCTCGTTTGCAAAACATCGTAAATTCAGTTTGGCCGCCATTTTGTTTTTCTCTACTAGCAGGATATGAGCTAATATCCTGCTAGTAGCGAACCAATCAGATTGCAGAATACCTCATATCCAGACCTTGTGTATATAATAAAAACTATTATACACTGGCCGCGTTGTTTTCACGGCCATTACGACCATATGGAAACCAGGCTTGTTGAATGTTGGAGTCGATGGTAGATCTAGACTTGCAAGTTTCGAAGAAGCCATTAATTGTGCTCTTTTTTCTAACTCGTAATTTGAGAAACCTACATTGTGTACTTCACAAGACTAAAGGCCGTTTTCCACAAGGCGGAATTTCTCTCTTGTGATTTCTTGGGTGGAACTAATTAGAAAAGACAAAGACAAATCCGAGCGGAAAATTCCGCCTAGTGGAAAACAGCCTTAATTAAGTTCACAACGTACGAGCCTTAAGCTTCTACCAGCTTAAGTATACGTGGCAATAACCATTTTTATACCAGTGAGAAACGATTAAAAATCTTGAATTATTATAGCCTAAACTTAGTATACATATTATTTTGTTATTGCCAATAACATTGTCACTGATCGGGAAATTATTTTCTGTTATTTTTAGCCAAGTCGCGTGAAATTGCAGATATTCTGGGGAAAGTATAAGAAGGCGGTCACAAGTTTATTCCTCGGGACAAGCCCAGAATTTGACATCGCTCTGTACACCTTGTGCTTTTTGGTGAATCCAGGAAAGTCATGCTCGTGTAGAATCAATGGTGAGAACATTCCTGTTACTACTCATTCATATTATGGAGGAAAATTTGTGGGCTCTGCTTATGTAAGAATATAGTCACAGTTTGACTTTCTGTTATATGAAATAAAGATTAAAAATACTGATGTGTTTGGTAAATGTGCAGCACGCTAATTTTGACAGGACTAATGTTTCTCGAAAGTTACTTCCAGCCTTTCTCGCGATCGATCTATATATGGGTGGATCGGTGGGGATTGGTGTGTCAGTTTGGATGTCTTCCGTTTCACCTCGCGTAAAAATTTCAAAAGTATATGAGCGATCTAAACTCCAAAGGCCGGTTGTCCATAAATTTGGAAATATTTCTTCAGAGATGTTGTTTGGATCGACCAGAGTTTACTTCTCTGAAGTTTTGAAATAAACAAACGTTAAACGTGAATAAATACACAAACTAAAACAGCAGGTTAAATTTTAACCCAGGGTTAGCGCTAATCCAGGGTTAGCTTTGAACAACCGGCGCCAATTGGGAAACTGATGCCAAAAGCTACGCGACTGCCGTTGCTATGGCAACAATGACGTTTCAAAATTGCGGATATTTTGGCTTTAATTAAAGTAATTTAACTCGAAAACGGCATCGGTGACCCCCAAATTTTATTCCAAATAAACTTATTTCTTTTAGTATACAGGGTTTATAAAAAAATAGACAATTTCGAAACGGCTCTCAAAATATTTGATAAATATAGATTTTTTGAGTACTTATATACCGGGTGTCCTAAAAAAAAAGTACTCCGGTTTGATTCGTTATAACTTTTAAACAAGTAAAGCTTTTAAAGAGAAATAACCTGCATCAAATAGAGGAAGGACTAATTTAGATTTTGGTATATTATAGTTGTATTTCACATAAAAATTCACGGAGATATTAATGTTTAAAATCGGGAGCATATTTCTGGATGTGTCTGAAATATGCAAAAAACGGCGTATCAACTATTAATCAAGATTTGCCCGACTGAAACATGCACTATTACCATGGGCGTACCGGAAGGAAAAATTTAGGAGGGCGGCAAGAAATTTGCCCGACTTTTCCGGATTTTGCCCGACGGGTACCGAAAAATTTTTTTCCGGAATTTGTTTTGGCGACCTCCCCCACCCCCCTACCCCCCTCCCCCCCCGTCGCCAAAAAAATTTCGGTCAGTGTACCATTTTAGGGGTCAAAAATTTTTTCCGGACATACCAAAATTGTCAAAAATTTGGAAAACTTCACAAAATTTTCAACAAAATTTACAGAATTTGTCCCATTTATTTTTTTAATTAACCAAAATTGCCCGACTGTTCAGCGAATATTGCCCGACTGCCCAAAAAACGGGGGGGGGGGCTACCGCCCCTCCCCCCGCCCGGTACGCCCATGACTATTACCAGTAAATAAATGACACTTGACAAATTGTTTATTATGAAAGAATTAAGTATTATTATCTACAAAGTACAAGCACGATTTATTCGTCCGAAATCCGCGTGTGTTCCTAGCACGAATACGTCAAGTTCCTTATTTCATGAGACTACTGCATTGGGAAGGTCGTCATGGATCGTTCGCGTTAATCGCGTAGTTCTGAATTAGGTCATGCTGTCGCAATGGAATTGTGAAGCTCTTCTAACTTCTGCAACGTTCTGAAATCTTGTTAAGAACACCCAAACTCTTTTGCCTTTTCTTAATCTTGTTAAGTTCAGAATAAACTGAAAATGAAACACAATCAAACAATACAACTCCATAAGACATAACAAGCAACTCCCCAGAGACATCCAACATTTTTGGAACAAAACGTAACAAAATAGTAACGTTGATACTGTGATGTATTTGCAAAAAGCAATATCATTTCTTTCATTAAAGAATATTATATTTATCCTGCTCTAAATGAGAAATAATTAACTCTGTTTTGAACCCATGAAAAACATAAAAAAATTAAGCTATTTAAGAAAAATTTAAGCGCCTGCCTTGCATGGTCTTTCATGCACCTTTAAGTTTGTAAAGACCATTAAATACTTGCATAATTTCGAACGTTCATATTTCAGGAAACAATGAGCTAAGACTTACATGTAAGATGTCTAAATCTACGCCAAATCCCTTACAAACCCTAACGAGAATTCGCTGAAATACAAGTTAGCCTGATATGTCATTAAGCAAACAAACACTGAATTTTCGCTAATTTTAGACACATCCAGAAATATGCTCCCGATTTTGAACATTAATATCTCCGTGAATTTTTAAGTATAATACAACTGTAATATATCAAAATCTAAGTTAGTCCTTCCTCTATTTAATGCAGTTGTTAATTTTGAAACGGCTCTCAAAAGATTTGATAAATATAGATTTTTTGAGTACTTATATATAATGTCGAATCGTAAAGATAGATTTTCCCGGTATGTTTTAGCAGCATTAAACATAGCTTGCGTGCGACATTTAATTAAAAGTTTAAAACTTATTTTTCACCCTGCTCGGTTTCCTTTGTTCTTATCGGGGAATATATTCAATATTCCCCTCTAATCAATTTCCGTTTAACAATCCCCTCTAATATTCACCTGCAATTAATAATTCCCTCTAATATTCACCTGCAATGTCTTTGCAGCACAATAAATGAGAAAAAAACAACATAACGAAGGCAATATGACATTGAGAATTATTTCTACTCTTACTCATTAATGCGACCGCGCAGTGTGAAAAATAAGTACGTTATTTTGAGGCACCTCGGGGATATGTGTTTATTCACCTCGGCGCTACGCGCCTCGGTGAATAAATCACATATCCCTCGTTGCCTCAAAATAACCTATACGTATTTTGAGGTCATTGGCGAGAAATTTGTTATGTTTTATGTACAAAAGTACATAATGAAATTGACAAGCTTGTAAACAAAGCATCTAGATCTGGCATCGATTACTAGAAAAAAGAGCAAAACAAACGGTTTGGGAGTTTAATCACGAAGGACAGAAAATTTAATCAATTTTACAGTCGTGCCAATAGAAGCGTTCCGAAAAATGTTGACTAATTCATTTCCTAGCTAACTTGAAGGAACACCTCTGAACAATTCCTCAACAATTTGATAAGTTCCTTAAAAAGTTCCTAACTTCCTGTTTCATTGACCAATCAAATTTTATATTCTATTTTTGAGCAATCTGTTTGGTCAATGAAACAGGAAGTTAGCAACTTTTTAAGGAACTTATCAAATTGTTGAGGAGTTGTTCAGAAGTGTTCCTTCAAGTTAGGAAATGAATTGGTCAACATTTTTCGGAATGCTTCTATTGGCACGACTGTAAGACGTCCTTTAAATAGCTGCTAAAACTTTCATTTATTGGAACTTTCACAATGCCTATCACGCATGCTCAATTCATGCATTTACCTAATTGCATATTGTTATTTTACTTTTTTTACAATAACAATATGGAAATTAGGTAAATGCATGAACTAATCATGCGTGATACGCAATTTCTGATATTTGGGCCGTTGGTGATAAAACACATAACAAATTTCTCGCCCATGAACTTAAAATGTGTATTCAATGTCCAAATTTTGCGCGCAAGCTATTTATAATGCTGCAAAAAAAGACAACCCCCACCCTCCCCCCTATTCGGGACCCACCACGCACGCTAAATAGACAGTCTCTTCATAGACACCTTAAACAACAACGAAATAGGCCATTGTGAGTTTGTCCGGTTGGTTTGCCAATGTATTTATAGACAGCGTCAAGCTCGAGGCAGCACTTTCCTTGCGACAGTAACTCCTAGTTATATTGTTCTTTTGAATTGAAGTTCTCTTACATGTGCGTGTCCGAGGGCGAAGGCCCTCCTTATATTTGGTGTTTGGGAAAGTAAAATGTCTACGTAGTGTGTGATATTTCTATATGGGAAAGAATAATGGACAAAGTGCTCAGCCACTTATTAAAAGATTTTCTTCCATCCGGACTGTGCAGGTTTAAATTCATTGACAAAACATTACCTGGAATACAGCCTATAATAATATTATTTTAAACTACTCTTGATTCACTTTCACGCCGGGTCAGCTCTTCCCAAAAATCGGCCATCTGATATAAACTTTTTCAATATATTTCGGATGGACATGAAACTTGCTACATCAATATAACTTTCCATTCCGAACAATCGTATGTTTTTTTATTTTTGAGATTTAACGGTTTTTGGCGCGAAAATGACGTCACGAAACCTCCAGTTAAAATTTATTTTCAATATCTTAATTGTTTTTAAGCAGAATGCGGAAGATCATGTCATGAAGAGGTCAAAACTGAAAAGAGATTTTAAATATCTTAATCTAATCACGAGATACAGGGAGTTTAGAATCGAATTTTCCACCATTTTGTTACTATTTTTAGATTTTTCACGGTTTTTATAGTGAAATAACTTTGGATTAGGTTTAGATATTTAAAATCCGTTTTCAGTTTTGAACTGTTCATGACATGTTCGTCCAAATTCTGCGACAAAACTATTAAGATATTGAAAGTAAATTTTAACTGGAGGTTTCGTGACGTCATTTTCCCGCCAAAAACCGTTAAATCTCAAAAATAAAAAACATACGATTGTTCGGAATGGAAAGTTATATTGATGTAGCAAGTTTCATGTCCATCCGAAATATATTGAAAAAGTTTATATCAGGTGGCCGATTTTTGGGAAGAGCTGACCCGGCGTGTTTCGTTTCAATATTGATGCCATCTTGAAATCATAATGCAGTATGATCATCGATCATCTGGTCTGTTATCTGTTATTTCGGCAACAATAGACTAATATCTAAGAACGACGTATACGTACATCAAAACCGGGAATAAATGTTGATGCAATATATCACAAAACTGTTTAGCGTCTTATGAAAACTGTATTAAGGTGGCTTGCTACACTTTTTTATTTTAATTTATTGGATATGAATTTCTGGCAGGGCTGCAAAATTACCAATAAAAAAGAAATTAATTCCAATTAAAATTACTTGCTTTAAAATGTAATAAATTCCTGATTACAATTACTTGTTCTAAAATGAAATTAAGTACAATGAAAAAATTACTCCGGAAAAAAGGAATTAATTACAAATTCCTTTACCGGCAAATTGTTACTATATATACTACCGGGTGTCCCAAAAAAAAGTACTCCGGTTTGATTCGAAATAACTTCTAAACAAGTAAAGCTTTTAAAGAGAAA